AATTTTATACATTATTATTTTACATCCTAATTCACTGTCCAACATTCAGATGCATAGGAAGCAATTGAAAATGGCATGGTTTGCATCTGGCATACCTGATATATAAACTGATATCACTTTAAAGAGGTCCATAACAGCAGATTTTCCCATTTTAATACTTTGTTTCTTGACTGCTGTTAACATAGGTGTTGATTGTGAATCAAAGTAAAATTACATTTTTGAGAATGTCAATCTTTTCTTCATCTATTTTGATGTTGCATATTGGTCCAGTGGAGAGAATTTTTGTTATCTTGACTGCCAATAAAATCTAGTTTATTATAATAAAGTATGTGGCCAGGAGGGACCGATCCTTGGGGGGAAAAAACCACCAAGCTCAGAAGGTTGGAAAAACAGCCCAGGAGAGGAAGACCCTGAATGAGATGGATTGATACAGTAACTGGAGCAAAAGGGTAGGTGTGTTGGAGTCAGTGAGACTGGCTCAGGACAGGCAGTCTTCAGAGCTGTTGTACACAGGGACACTATAAGTTGTAGATGACTCAACGGCACATAGCAATAACAGTATCTATACTTGAAGCTGGTTTAATATTGTTGCTGTTTTGTTATGTGCCATCAAATTACTTGCGACTTATAGCGACCTAAATCAGCCTAAAACAGCCCTAAATCTTGCTCTATCCTGTACCAATCTTATTGTCTCTGACATACCTATCCCCATTATCCCAGTCACTGAATCAATTCATCTCATCGAGGGTCTTCCTCTTTTGTAATGTCCCTCCACCCTTCCAAGCAAGAGGTCCTTCTCCAAGGACTGGTCCCTCCATGCAACATGTACAAAGTATGCCAGACAAAGCTTTAGAATCCTTGCCTCTAAGGAGCAGCCTGGACTAACCTGTTTGTTCTCTTAGCAGTCTATGCTATATCCAATACTCTTCTCTAGTACCAAAGCTCAAAGGCATCAAATCTTTTTCTATCATCCTTAGTCACTGTCCAGCTTTCTATTGCATAGCAAGTAATTGCAAAGACCATGGCCTGGATCAGGTGCACCTTAGTCTCCAGACTGACACTGTTATTTTTCTGTACTTTGGAGGTATCCCTGACAGCAGACTTTCCCAAAGCAGTATGTCTTTTAATTTCCTGGCTGCTGGTACCAAGAGTGGTGATTGTAGAGGCAAGCAAACAATCTCCGTCTCTTCACCATCTATCATGATGCTGCCAACTGACCCAGTGGTGAGAATTTTAATTTTCTTGATATTGAGCTTCAATCCATATTGAAGGCTGCAGTCCTTGATCTTCTGAAGCAAGTGCTTCAGGTCCTCCTCAGTTTCAGCAAGCAGGGTATATCATCTGCTTAACACAGATTGTTGATGACTCTTCCTCCAATCCTGATGCCACATTTCTCCTCAAAGAGCCCAGCCTCTCGGATGACCTGTTCTGCATAAATATTGAAAAGGTATGGAGATAGGATACATCCCTGGTGTATACTCTTCCCAACTTTCAACCTTGCAGTGTTTCCTTGATCTATTCTGGGATGACTGCCTTCTGGTCCAAGTACAGGTTTTACATAAGCACAATCAAGTTCTGGGATTCCCATTCTTCTCAGAGTCAGCCACCGTTTGTTGTGATCCACACAGTCAAATGTCTTTGCATATTCAAAGAAACATGATAGACATTTTTCTCTGGTACTCTCTGTTTTCAGCCAAGACCCATCTAACATTCGTTATAATACCCCTAGTACCATGGACTCCATCTAACATTCATTTCTAAACCCAGCCTGCATTTCAGGCAGTTCTCTGTTGATGTTCTTTTCCAGTCATGTTTGGATAATTTTCAGCAGAATCTTGCTTGCATGTGACATTAATTATATTATTTGATAATTTCCACATCATGAGGGGTTACCTTTCTTTGGAATGGGAATAAATACGTATTTCTTTTAGTCCAGTTGGCCAGGTGGTTGTCCTCTAGAGTTCTTGGAACAATTTGGTGGGCATATCCACGGCAGCGTCTGTTTGTTGCTATTACAGATTTAAAATAATATATATCAATGATGAAGCTTCATCTCATATGCCTTGGGCACACTGCTGGGAGAGGTTATTCCTTGGAGAGGGATATCATGCTTGGGAAGGAGAAGAAGCAGCAAAAGAGAGGAGGACACTCACCAAGGTGCATTGACATGGTGACTGCGGCAATGGGATTGTATCATAGATTGTGAGGCTGGCCTGGCATAGGACAATGTTTAGATCGGTTATGCATAGGATTACTATGAGGTTAATTCGACAGCACCCACCACCAACAAGAACATATAAAACCATGAAGAATTAAAGTAGCTAAGAGACTGTGGTGCAGTGAATTAATCAATGTGGCCTTTCCAGTCATAGTCTTTGTATCCGTGCAAATGTTAGTTGCTTGTGGACCAACAAGGAAACCAGACAGCTTGCTAATAATGTAAATATGATATGGCACCTTTTGTGTTGGACCATGCAAATGAGAAGAAACACAGAATGCCAATATGAGGCTTGGTCAGTTTTGCCATATCATTAGTTCTAAAAGGCAGCATACCAGAGGTGGAAAAGAGGGCTCTCATTACCATGAAGAACAAAGAATCAGAGAGTGCAGTGCATCCTTTGGACCCAAGTTTCATGCATTGACATGTTCTAGACCCAGGAGACACAGAGGCTGCAATATCTGAGTAGTAGGGTGTAAATGAAAATGGTGGTAGCGAATTGGTGGCAGAAGAGAGAGCCGGGAACTGGGACCCTGGTGTGAGGCAGAGCTATCACAGACTTTCTGCCCACACAGCAAGACATCTGTTTAAGGACAAGTTTAGTGGTTAAATGGGTGCCTCCAGGCATTTGTTGGGAAAGTGGGGCTAGATTTGCCAACTTTGGGAACTAGAGCTAAGCACCTCTGGGCTTAGTGGAGGAGGGTGCTGTGCTCATTTAAAACAGGACAAGCGGAGAGAGCTTTGTACCACATGCTTGAACAGGGCAGGTGCCAAAGCCAAGAGGTGGAGGGTGAGAGAGAGAAGCTTATCTTGGCAGAGCTCTAGAGCATCCTAATATTTGCCAGCACAGGTTAGAGATCAAAGTTGAGAGCTGAGTCATAAAGGCTGAAAGTCCACCTTTCAGTACTGCTGAGAGGCGCTTGTCTTGACCAAAGACCTGCATCCTACATGTTCCTGAACTGGAATTGTAACCTGCCATTTCTCTAATAAATTTCATAAGCATGAGCATATTCTGGGAGTTCTACATTTCATAATAAATTTAGGTGAACCCAGAGCTTTGGGACAGATGATCCGTATCAGAACTGAGAGGCAAAAATACTGGAGAGGATGTGGAGAGACTGAAACTCTCATGTATTGCTGGTGGGACTGTAAAATGGTACAACCATTCTGGGAGGCATTTTAGTGTTCCTTCAAAAAGCAAAGCACAGAAATCCCACATGACCCAGCTATTCCACTACTAGGAGTATAACCCAAGGAAATCAGAACTGAGACATGTACAGAGATTTGTATACCTGTGTTCATAGCAGTGTTACTCACAATAGGCAAGAAAATATAAACAACACAAATACTCACCAACAAATGAATGGATTGAGAAACTGTGGTACATTCACACAATGGAATGCTATGCAGCAATAAGAAACAATGATTTCATTGTGGGATGAATAAACAATCATTACAAAAGAATAAGAAAGACTATGACACAAAGGGTCACAGTCTACGTGGTGAGTACATAAAGAGAACCTTTCATTTCACCACAGGGAAATGAGGGAAGGGTAAGAGACAATCAGGTCAATTTTTCCATTTAGGTTCAGTCTTCATAATGATGCTTTTCTTACCAAAATTTGGCCTATCAACTAAATTTACCTAAATTCCATTAGGAAAGAAAAAGGTGCTTACATCGGCCCAGCTTAGAGAAGCCCATCACAATGAATAACCAGGCAACTTAGGAAACGGGGAGTTCTCCACTTGATATAAAAATGAAATTTATTTTATCTCTCTTGGTTCAAATGGCAAAGCCTACAGAGGCTGTTTGCTCTCTATTTTGTTCAATCCTAAAGCTAAGATGTAACCTAAAACTGGACCTGTAGATACTTTCAGTAAATTCAAAAGTAGTCCTATCATTGAGGGTGTACCACTGAAGGGTCAGGTATAAGAGGTTGTGATTTGATGGCACAGAACAACTCTTTCCATTTACTTGGCCCTCGAGTTTTTGTTTGTTTATTTATTTGTTTTACTTTTCAATCTTAAGGTTAATGGAGTAATTTTAACTAAGATTGGGTTCCAGTAAACTTCCCAGAAATAGCTTGAACATAAAAACACTAACACCTAAGAAAGTTTTATTTCCCTCAATTTCAGAAGTAGATGGGGGGGGGGGGAAGTCATGTCATATTAAAAGTCATATCTACAGAATAAAAGGCAAAGACCATAACTACCTGATGTGTTTTCAAAGTGGGAAAAATGCACATAAACAATCAAGATAAGCTGCCACCATCACCCTTGATTATATCAGCTAGCCTTTCAGCAAACAGAACAAAAGAAAACAGAAATCATAATTGAGGATATAGATGTAAATGCTTATAAGTAAGCACTCATATGTGATTAGTACATGTGTACAAATATACAAGCATACAACATGTTCCAATTTTCACTTTTATGATTTTAAAAATATAAACATTATTTAAGAAAGGGTTACTGCTTTTTTCCATAACAACGCCAATGCCAAGCAGCCCATGTGACTGTCTTCCTTAAGCAACATTAACTATCCTGCTGCACCTTCAAACAACCAAGTGCTTCCCCACTGACCCACAGCCTGCTTCAAGGAATCATTTCTGACTTCAGGGCCCCAGGAACAAGAGAGGGAAAGGGAATGAGGAAGGGCAAAGACAACAGCTCACTCACATGCTGTATTTACAGTTTTAAAGCAACATTAAAAGGAAAGAAAAAAGACTCTTCTCCCACCTTGCTGATGCACTCAAGACCAGTTAAGAGTAAAGATGCTTACCTGTTGCTGCTGCACTTTCACAGCACCAAGATCTGAGAGAGACATCGTGAGCTTCTCCTGCTGTTCTGACAGATATTTCTGATAGAGGCTTAAAAGTTCTTGACATTCTCTATACTGTAGCTGAAGAGGTGAGATTGCAAATTAAGGAAAAAAAACCCTTTAAATTGGACTCATATGACATCTACTAATATTGCTTTTCTGATAATAAGAAAGATGGGGGATGAGAGCAAACATATTTGTGACAGAGCAAGTGAATATAAAGTCTGCAAATGGACATAGAACTTATGTCCTAATAAAAATTATGGAAAGTTAATTCAAAAAGACATGAGCAATGGTCATCGGATTTAGAGAGAAGGCTCTCCAGTTTTAAAATATATAATGTAAAATAAAGATTCATATGTGAAATTTAACTCAAAACAGATCAAGGACTAAGTATAAGGAGCCAAAACCATAATAAAACATAGGAATAAATCTTTAGAACTTAATATTCATCGCTTCTTGGCCTTTTGGCTAAGATCAAGTGTAGAACTTAATATTCAGGAAATAGACCTTTGAACAGACAATAAAATTATAAGGAACAAAAGAAAGCTAAACATACAAAAAGTTAAAATTTGTACATTTATCAAGAAAGTAAAAAGACAACCAATACAATAGGAGAAAAATACTTGGAAATCATCTACATGATAAGAGTTTAGCATCTACTAGAATGTAAAAGACAACTCAATTAAAAAGGGGCAGAGGGCTTGAATACCAATTTCTCCGAAGAAAATCTACAAACAGTCTATGAGAACACAAAAAATAAGCACAGATGCTCAGCAGCACTAGGAAAAGGCAAACCAAAACCACAGTGAGATCCTACTTCGAGGATGACTGTTTCCAAAAAAGGGAAACGAACCAATGCTGGTAAAGGCATGGCAACATTGACATGCCCAACCACTGCTGACAGGATTGGGAAGGAGGTGCAGCTCTAGTATAGGTTGGTGCTTCCTCAAAATGTTAAACACAGACTTACCATGTGGTTGGTAGGTGCCAACTCGTTGGCTCTGACTCACATCAACTCTGGGGACAGTGGAACAAAGCCTTTCCCAATCCTGCACCAGCCTCCCAAATACTGTTGTGTTTGTCCCACTGCTGCAGCCACTGAGTCTGTTCATCTCACTGAGGGTCTCTTTTTTTGGTGACCCTCTTTTTCCTACTAAACAGGCTATTTATCTCCAGGGATGAGTTCCTCCTGACAACATGTTCCCAAATTAACATTTAACTCAGTAATTCCACTCCCAAGTATATACTCAAAAAGACTGAAATCTGTGAGTTAAACAAATAATTGAACACCAGTGTTCATTGTGGCACCATCACAGCGGCACACAGCTGGAAACAATCCAGAAGACCATCAACAGATGAGTGGATAAACAAAATTCCATGTGTATATACATAATGGACTATTCTTCAGCCATAAAGAGAAAAGAAATTCTGATGCGCATTACCACATTTGTGATCTTTGAAAACATTAGGCTAAGTAGAAGCCACAAAAAAGTCATAGGTCATATGATTCCATGTATATCCAGAACAGGCAAATCAATAAAGAAAAAAACAAGCACACAGGTGGTTGTTAGAGGCTGAGGCGGATGTGGAAATGAGGATGAAGAGCACGTAATGAATATACAGTTTCTATTCTGGGTGATGGGAAAGATTTATAAATAGTAGTGAAAACCATCTAGATTAAAAATATTATGTAATTCGTGCTACAAGATTATATGCTTCAAGATAGTAAAAAATATAAAATTTGATGTTGTGGATACTTTGTCACAATATAAATAAATACAGTCATATTGCAAATGTATGATGATGGAATCTGATTTATATTATGGGGTATCAGGGATATATTGTTCAAAATAGTTTTCCTGTCCATTGATTGACTTTGGCTTTTCCACATGGGTGAGTGGAGACACACGAATAGGATGTGTTAACCTCTCCCCAAGGAAACTGGCTGGTCTCGCCACCTAATTGAGTAGATTGAGTGGCAGAAACTAGGAAACTCACCACCAGCAAAAGAAGTGACAATGCCGCTTGCCAAAAATTCCAGCAACACTCAGGTTGGGACCTACAGGAGCAGGAGCCACCACAGAGGATCAGAGACCCCCGGTCACACAGAGCCGACTCTGGGAGTGCTACCCCACAGAACCAGAGCTATGAGCCTCAGCCCAAGCATGCTGAAGGACTGGGAAGATGTCATAATTGGTATGACTAAGAAATCACTGAAGAAGCAGTGGTGGCACAGTATAAGAGGCTGTGCTGCAATCCCAAAGGTACAAGGTTTGAATCCACCAGCTGCTCTGTGGGAGAAACATGGGCATTCTCTCTCTTCCTCTTTTTTTCCCCTACAGCTTACATGATGTATTTTTTTAATTGGTTTTCACTCAATTATTCATATGTATTATGACTTATAACATGAATTACAATTGATCTTCAATGCCTTTTATCATGTCTCCTCAAAACCTTGCTGTACTTCACCTATTCCTTCACCTCACCCAACTGTCCACTAATCTCTGTTGCCCTAGTATTTTTCTCCTCTCTCTTTTTTCCCATCTTTCCTTCTCTTATTGTCCCCTCAGTTATATGTGTCCTGGTTCAAGCTGTTAATTGCAATACCCATATTTTCCATTTGTCCATTCTTTCTAGGCTGATCCTCCCTTCCTCTGACCCTTTACAGTGTACACTGTCTATTTCTGCACTGCCCATACACTTCCCCCTAGGCCCATCCTATTTCAAAGTGGCAATATTATACAGTATTTATCCTTTTGTGACTGAGTTATTTCACTCAGTACAAAGGCAATCTCTTCCTGTACAATTTACTGCCTCTGAAAACCTGCCAAAGGATCAGCTATGGGTTGGTTCCAACTTAATGACACACAACAACAACAACAACAAAGCTGAAGGCTGACGGACCTGTGAGCACACCTGGAGAAACTGTCCTGACTGAGAAATTGTATCTTCTTTGCCAACCTGATTGCAGCCTATTCACGGCCCTAATGATTCCCATCTTCATGAACATGGTTCTGTGTGGTCTGCAGAGCTATTGCAATGGATTTTGGACCCAGCAGGGCATTAAGTTTGGAATTAGTAGAAGTAGATGAAGGAGCATGAGGACCATGTCTAACCTTATAAGAATCAGTTTGGACTATGAATGTTATTGATGGGGACAGTTTCCCTTTGTGGAATTAGCAGAGGTTAGATATGGTCATTCTCATGTCATTCCCACTCTTTTACACATTTATATAAACTACTCCAAGACTCTTGCCACAAGCAGTCAAGAATCAAAAGACAAATTGCTTTTGGGAAGAGCTGCTGTCAGAGACCTCTCAAAAGTGAAGAGCAATGATGTCAGTCTGGAGACTCAAGTATGCCTGATTCAGGCCATGGTCTTCACAATTACCTGCTATGCATCAGAGAGCTGGGCAATGACAACTGATGAGAGAAGAAGAATTGATGCCTTTGACTTGTGCTTGAGAAGAGTATTGAATATACCATGGACCGCCAAGAGAAAACCAGATTTATCCCAGAGAAGGTGAAACCAGACTGCTCCTTGGAGGAAAGGATTTTGAAGCTCAATCTCACATATTTTGAGCATGTGGCCAGGAGGGACTAGTCTCTGGAAAAAGACTCATGTTAGGAAGAGTGGAGGGACAGCGCAGGAAAGGAAGACTGTGGACGAGATGAACTGACATAGTAACTTGGATAATAGGGGCAGGTGTGTGCGTGTGTCAGAGCTAGAGAATGGCCCATGATAGAGCAGAGCTCAGGTTCGGATCTATTGTACAGATGGTTACTATGAGTTGCAGGTGACTCGATGGCACATAACAACAAACAACATACTATTACTACTACTACTACTTACAGTCAAGTCAGAAGTAATTCATAGCTGATCCTTTGGAGGGTTTTCAGAAGCTGTTAACTGTGTAAAAGGAGATTACCCATTTTCTCCCATGGAGCAGCTGATGGAACCAAACTATCTGTCTTTGAGTTGGCAGCTCAACTTCTTACTCACTAGGTCACCAGACACTTAAAATTGCTCAGATACTATAAGAGCTAAAACAGCAAGACTCTTAAACTTTGTTATCTTTATGTCTTAAATAAAACACAGGGGGGGGGAAGTAAATTAGAAATCATAAAAATAAAAAAAAATATTTCAAAGACATTATAAAGAAATTGATTATTCAATTCAGAGAAGAAAACATACTTGAAATCTTATATTCAGAATACATAAAGATATGGGTCCAGAATCTATAAAGATTTCGTACACATCAACAATAAAAAAAGACTATTAATTTCAAAATGTGTAAATGATTTAAGTAGTTATTTTCCCCAAATATACAAATGGCTAGGAAGAACATATCAAATTGTTCAACATCACTAGCCCATTAAGGAAACAGAAATAAAAAAATACAATGAGGAAATAGAAATTTTTAAAAAATTCACTCTTCACTCACTAGAATAACTAGAATTGTTATAAACAACAAAGCAACAATAACAAGTGTTGGTGAGGATGTGGAGCAGTTAGAGCTCTCATACAGTGATGGTATAAATATAAAATGCTGCTGCCTCTTTTAAAACAATTTGGTAGTTCCTCAACATAGAATTAACATACTGATTCTTAGTTCTATTCTTAGGAGTACATGTGAGAGCCGTGAAACTTACTTTCTACTCCTAGGAATATAAACAAGAGAAATGAAAACATATGTTTTCACAATTATGCTAGGTGAGATACCTCAGTCACAAAAGGGTAAATACTGCATAAGACTACCGTTATAAAAAGAGGATGATGGCGTGGGCTGTGGGGTGGAGAACAGGAAAATAATGGATAGGTAATGAACACTGCACTGGAATACAAGAGGGGAAGGACTTGCAAGAAATGGATGACCAAGAATTAAATGTATGACAACAACACAGAATAAGACATGCATTACCAAGTTAATTGGGGAGGAGAGAAAGGAAAATGTGTATCAATGAATGAATGAAAACTTTCACTAAAATCACAATTTAAAAAAAACCCAAAAATCTGAATGTGAGTCTCCAAAGGATTCTGGCAAAAATGCCAGTTTCTGTCTTGCTTTGTTTTAAATAACATCAG